CTTTTTTTTTTAATTAATTAATTTAATTTATTTATTTATACCAGCACTGGGCACAATCAGAAGCACGGGAGGGTGAGAGAATTCACCAGGGCCAGGGCGGGGAGCAGAGCAGGCAGAGGGACCGAGGTGCACTGCTGGGGGGTGGCGGGCGGCAGGAGAGGTCTGCGCGCCATGTGGGACCCTCCTTCGGTGGCCGGGGAGCAACCGGGGATCATACCGGTGTTGCAGAGGCTGCGGGCAGCTTCGCAACCCAGCGCTTAACCGCTGCGCCACCGGGGAGGCCCCACTTGTGAGTCCTTTTGAACTGTATAAACCTAAAGTTAAGAATGTCTCATCCTGTGAAATGTGTGCATATGTGTGCATGCATGTGCACACCTGTGCTTGTATGCATATACTTCAAAGAGGAGGAATGTTGGAACAATAAAATTACAGAAATAATTAAAATATAGATAAGTGCTCTAGGATTGGAACAGCAAAATTCCTTATAGAGATTCAATAGCAAAGTAAATCAGAAAAGGTTTAAAAAGAGGAAAAGGGAATAAAAGAAAGTACAGATAAGAGCAGGCATTTGTGCCACCATAGATATGGTGGAATAAAAATTAAAAGGGGGGATTGTAACAGGGTGGTCCCCAGGAAAGGGGGAAGTTCCAGGTTCCCTGCCCCACCCAAGGGAGAGTGGAGCTGAGCAGGGAGAGAAGAAGCTGCAGAGGAGACTGAGGAAGGAAGGAAGCAGGATGGAGCCAGGAGACCTGGAGGAGGCGCATGGAGCCTAGAGACACGTGAAGAAACTGCGCTTGTCTTTTGGTCGTGTACTGGGGGACACAGATGTGGGTGAGACCCATGGGGAGGTGACAATGGAAGTTTTTATCTTGATGTTGATTTTGCTCTTTTCCTTCCGGGCTTGTCTGGTTGTTTCTGACCCTTTTCTGTGGGTCCCCACTGGAAGATGCTTTAGACTTGTGGCAGGCTTTGGGGCCTTGTTCTGGACCAATCCCATATGGATGGACTTTTACCCATGAGGGGATGGGTAACTTTGGGTGCTTGATTTAGAAACTAAATTATTTGCCTTTCCTGCATTGTTTCCTAGTTGTATTAAAGTTCCTTCCCATTAAAGTCTCCTATGTTTTGTGTTGATGCGGCGGATGGCAGAACCCATTTAGAATAGGCAGGTTTGCGGGGTTTGGGCTGCCCCTCTCCCTGTCCTATAACACTTACTGGGTCATTATTTCTTGCCATCCACCTCCTCCACAGTTCACTAAACTGACTATAAAACTGGCTTACCTCTGGAGTTAGCCTTAGGTGAAGTAGGATTTAGAGTAAGTCTCAAAAAGTTTGTTTTCAGAATTCCTCACAAATCCTGAGGAACTCAAAGAGCTTTAATTTCTGTACTGATAGCCATAAACTTTATTGTAGTGGAAATAAAATGAGAAATTTAAAAACATTTATTAATTTCATTTTTTTTAAGATTTATTTATTTATTTATACAAGCACTGGGTACAGTCAGAAGCGCGGGAGGGTGAGAGAATTCACCAGAGCCAGAGCGGGGAGCAGAGCAGGCAGAAGGACCGAAGCACACTGCTGAGGGGAGCAGCGGGCGGCAGGAGAGGTCTGCGCGCCATGTGGGACCCTCCTCCGGTGGCCGGGGAGCAGCCGGGGATCGAACCAGCATTGCAGAAGCTGCTGGCAGCTTTGCAACCCAGCGCTCAACCTCTGCGCCACCAGGAAGGCCCTAATTTCTTAATTGATAACAATAAACAACTCATTATGTGTCCACATAAATAACATTTTTTTTGGTGAAGCATAAAAATATTTTCCAAAACAACAATAGAAAGATTAGTGAAGAAGTTCTCTTACTTTTTTTTAAATCTCTGTAATCTCTGGTTTAATAGAAGATAGAGTCGATATCTGCTTTTGCATTCAATATGTTGCAATAGCTTCTGGAAAACTCCACTCTGTTCTTGTGAAAGAATGAGAGTGAAATAGGCAGGTCATATCTTAGTATGATTGTGAAAATAGTTTTGAGCTTGTGGACTCTCAGGGATCCTCAGACCATACTTTGAGAACTGTTGACTTAGGGATTTCTTCTAATATTTCTCTTCTTTTACAACCTGAATTTTCTTTAATTACAGAAAAAGACTAATTCAATTCTATAACTAGAAACAAATGGCTTCCAAATTTAAATATGTGTGCTGGATTGCTCATGTCTTACTTGATGTCCAGCTGTCCCTCCAGCTTTCTCCACCCTGTTCTATGACTGTATGGATAATATCCACAGGCTTCAGTTGTGTTTGGTCAATGGGTAGCACTGGCAGGAGATCCAAGGAAGGGAGGAGAGTGAAGTTGGGGTATCTATTCCCTAGTAGAAGAGGGCTTGAGTTCTTGTCACAGAACCCTCTGCACATAACCCTCTCTACCTGCAGGTTTCTGCATTTCTGTCCTATCCTCATCCCTGCAGGCATAGGGGTATAAAGTGTCTCCCTGTTACTGCTGCTAGGTGATTAGGGCCTATGAGTTCTCTCTACCCTGCCTGTACCTTTGGAAAGAGTCCTTTTATTATACTTGGCACAAAATTCCTAGTTTGAGTGCAACATCCATTTCTTGATGGTCTCTGATTAGGGCTCAATAATTTGCTGGAATAGTACACAGAATTCAGGAAAACACTTTCTTTACTACTATCAGTTTATTGCCAAGGCTAGAACTCAGGGACAGTTAGATGGAGGAGCTGCACAGGGAAAGGTAGGAGAGGGCAGCCATGGAGCTTCCATCCCTCCTCTGGGTTCACCACCTTTCCAGCACCTTAATGTGCTCACCAACCCAGGAGTTTGCTAAACCTTTTTTCCACATTACTTTTAGTATTATTTTCACTTTACATGTTGAAGATTGCTTTGTATTGCTAAGAGCATCTAAAGTTCTTCTGATTCTGGATGATGTTATGTTCCCCATTTTATAGAAGAACTAAGGTTCAGAGACCTTGGTTACTACTTCAAGTCACACATCTAGTTAATGGCAGTGCCCACTATGGTACTCAACATTTATGATACATTATGTGTTATGTTGGTATATGCCAATTTTTCTTTTAAAGTTGTGAATCTTGTTGGACCTTCTCTAGTGGTTTAGTGTTTAGTTTACTTAAATAAAGCATACAACAAAGTTACCATAAATATCTGTTTTATCCCTGTTTATTCTCAGCACCTAGAACAGTATTCAATACATCTTCATTTTTAGTGATGGCAAGAATGAATGAAGCGTAATTATGAGCCCACCTAAATGACTGTGCTTTGTATTAGTTTCTGGGTCAACCAAGAGAAACTGAGAAGGAAATCAAGCAGATCTAGAATTTCTCTGATACCTTTCTAAGGCTGCTTGGATTCTCAAGACAAGAGTCCCCAGAGCTCTACTTTTATGTCTTTAGATTCCTGTTTTGGAAGGCAGGACCCCAGGCTCTTTTTTCCTTATGTAAGTTACATCAGGCAAAGAGGTGTGATTTAAAGAAATGTATTCTGTAAGTCAGTAAAAAAATATTTCCTGTGAACTGTATGACCTCATATTGATAATCAAGGGAACATGGAAAAACATATTTAAATGGGTCTGTTTTTTTCTTATTTCTCCCAACATGTACAAGTAGGGAAATGGAATCTTAGTTTACCGTGCCTCCATTACTTATGCTGGAACACTGGTGTGCATAAAAGAAAAAAAAAAAAAATCCACCTGGGAAAAAATTCACCTAGGTCTTGTTCTCAGAGTCCCTGATAGTATAGGTGCAAATAGTCCCAGGATTCTGCACCCAGTTGATTGTGATGCTGGTGGTCTAGCCATCTTGCTTGTACGAAAACACCATCGGCCTGCAAACTAGAGGAATAGGTCAAAAAACTGAATTGCAAGTGTTTATTTCTGCCATCCTCACTATGGCCTGGACATTGTCCTGTTTCTAAATTTGTCCTCTCCAGAACATTGATAGTCCCTAAGTTGAACAGCACTTTGTTAGGTTAAATTGTCTGCCCAAACCATTTGCACAAAATTATAAGGCTTAACTCTGTTTCAAGGCATTTGAATTAGGGGGGGAAAAAAAAAAAGTGTCCTAACGTTTAGAAGCTATTATACCGTCATTACTCTCGGGTTTTGTTCCTTCTGGGGGTGGTGGTAGGAGACTTAACCTGACAGTACCTTTCAGTTTAATTCAACTGCTGGAGGAATCATGTCCACATTTCCTCACCCATCTTTTTAATCATTCATTCTAGGATGTCTTCGTGAAGCTTTCCAGGGTAAACCTACCCACAGGGAAGATCCTTTAAGTCCTTCCTTGCAGGTTTAAATTATAGCTTCTTTCACCTTGTACAGGGACTGCCTTATTTTTTAATCTCTAGTTGTACAGTGTCTGGCAAATAGCAGGCAGTCAATAAATGTGAAGAGAACGAGTGAATGTCAGAGACTGAAACTAGAGTTTTAAAAATCAATGTTGACTGAAAAAAACAGAAATGTCAAAGGCCGAATGCCAGACAGTGCGGATCCAGAAAGAATAAAAATAATCTCTGATGATAGCACAAAATCCTCCTGAGGAGATCACCTGTCCCATTTTCTCCTGTCGCTTCAGGCATCTCCCGACACCCCAATTTCCCGCTAACTCATTCTCTTCTTCTCGGGACAGGTCAGGCAGGTACAGAAACTCCGCTGCTCTGATTGGTCGGCGATGACTTCATTGTCAGGGAACATCCGGGCTTTTCCCCTTCCCCTCAACACCTCCCCCAGAACCCTGCCCTCCGCGCTTCCCTCTCTCGCGTGCGCCCCACCCTCTGGAGGAAGCAAAACAACCGCCGCTCGCCAGACCGCTTCTTATACGGCCTCCGCCGCCCTGCCGGCCTACGTCTTAGAGAGGCAGTCACACCCTCCAATGAGAGCCCAGCAGGACTTTTTGAGCCAATCAGCAGCCAGCCCCCTGCAATTCTGGGCGGGACGATGCCCCCACACCTAGAACCTGACTACCCGTTGGCTCCTTCACGGCGCTTGTTTTACGCAGGGATCAGAGGTCAGAAATAAAGGGGCGCGGTTCTCGCCGAACGGCAAGGCCCCGCATATACTCTCCGGGTGTGACCGTTTTCGAAGACTGGCCAATCGCTTTTCGGATACTTCCCCGCCTTTTGCGCGTTCATTTAAAAAAAGCCGGTGTGACGGACTTGGAAATTGGCTCAGTGACGGGCACGTAAAGGAAGCCAATGACTGGGGGCTCGGAGCACCCTTTGGGCCATTAGGAACGGAGACTGTGGGCTCGGCCTTTGTGAGGCGGAGCGCAGGTGGGCGTTATTTGATTGACGGGGGCCTCCACTTATGGCTGGTAGGTGGGTTGGCCCTGACGTGCGGAAGGCTTAGCCGAGGCGGGGCTGAGAGAAGTGAAAGGTAATGAAGGGCCGGGTCTGCCTCAGTGGGCGGTGTTTGATGGATGGTTGACCTTGCCAATTGAAGGTGGTCCCTGACACCCAATGGGAACGCGGGAGCCCAAGGGGCGGGGCACGGTGGGCGGGGAAAACGAAGGCCGGAGCCGCGAGGGCCGCCGGACTGGGCCGGAGGGCCGTGATTGACGGGCGGCCCAGCAAACCCCGTACAGCGACGGGTCGCGCGGCGCCCCAATGGGCGGGAGCTGGAGGCGGGGCTCCGCGAGGGGCGGGGAAGAACGGGGTGCGGGGAGGGGGTTGCAGAAGGAGCCGAGCGGCTGCTGCTCAATGGCGGAAAAGCCGCCGGTTCTCTGACCGCCCCGGCCCCCTAGCAGTTGCGGGGGAGTTTCCTGCCGGCGCGGCTGGAGTCTCTGTTTCTCAGGGTTCGGTGGCTGGAAGATGCTCCAGAGAGACGGGGCTGCGGCGGCGGAGGTGGCGGCGGCCGAGTCGGCGACGGCGCTAGGGTGGAGAGAAGGCGGCAGCGGCGGCGGCGGCGGCGTGCGGGGCCCGACGGTGTAAACAGCGGCGGCGGCGGCGGCCGAGACCCCGAGGGGAGAGCGGCGCTGCGGCGGGTCGCGCCTCCCTGGGAAGCCCGGGCCGCGCCGCGGGGGGGCTCTGCGGCGGGCTCGCGCGGACACCCCAGACCTCGCCTCCCTCCCTCGCCCCAGGTAAGGCCGCTCGGCGCCCCGCCGCGGGGCAACGGCTGGCTGGCCCCGCCGGGACCCCCCGACCGCTTCGGGGGGCCGGGAGCGGCGGCCGGGGCCTCTGCCCGCCCCGCCGCGCCGCCGCCTCGGGCCGCGGAGCCCGGCCCGGCCCCTGTAGGCCCCTGCCCGGCCGCCGCCGGCGAGGCTGGAGGGGTCGGGCCGAGGGAGCGCGCCCCGCGCCGGGAGTGCCTCGCCGCCCCGCGCCCCGGCCGCGAGCACCTCGCCCGGCGCGGCCCCGCTCGCCCCCGCGCTGCCCGGCGCCCCCCCGGCCCCCGCCCCCTCGCCGGGTCCCCCGCCGCGGCGCCCCCGCGCCCCGAGTTCTCTCCTCGCGCTGCCCCGGCCTCCCGGCCCTGGGGGGCGCCCCTGGGGGCAGCCGGGGCCGCAGACCCGCGCGCTCCGGGGTGCGCCCGCCGCCGTGCGCGGGGCTCGGGGCCGCGGCGGAGCCCGCAGCCCGGAGAGGAGACGGACCCGTCTCCGGGCGTCAGGTCGGGGAGCCGGCGCGGCCCGTGCGCGAGGGGCGCGGCGAGCCGGGGTGACTGTCCGCCGCGGGGCCGCTCGTGTCGGGTTAGCGGGTCAGGTCGGGGCCGGCCCCACCTTCCGGGGCAAAGGCGCTTCTCGGGCTTTGCCCGCGCCCCGGAGTCGCCGCGTTCAGGTTGGCCTAAAGCAGCTTGAGAACTTTGGAGAGTAAGTACGGCTGGGAAGTTGTTTTTGATGAAACCCCAGTTAAAGACCTATTAAAATAGGCTCCACATGTTTAATGTATCAAAATAAAGTTGGCAGGAGTCTTGTAAAGGCTTATTGAGGAATTTGAGTCGTCTTAGTGTTGTGTAGCTATGTTGGGAAAAACATTCTTTTTCTGTTAGCAGACGTTTACAGCGCCTGTGATGTGAGAATTACTGAGGTTTATTGGGGATTAACACAGGAACTCATTTTATTTGAGCTACTGCATGGATGTAGACGTAGTAAATTGTTCCGAGGAGACACTGTAAGTCAGTACGTTTTAGGAGATGGAGAAACATGCCACGGCACTGAGCGTTAATAAACATTACATTTACTTTCTCTGTTCTGCACTAGTAAAATTCCTGTTGTTCCCTTACTTTTAAATAGAACATTTCTGAAAGAAAATAAGCAAGTCATTCTAATTAGTATAATGGTCTTGTCTGAGTGTATAGACTTTTAAATATAGCTGAAATAGTATTATTAAAATAGTGATTTTTAAAACAAATATGTTTGTAGGTCTCCTCAATGGGCATTGGGTTGTTTCAGCAGAACTTTTTAAATTTAGTATTTAGAATAGATTCTTTTTCTTTCAGGGATAATCCTGATTTTTACTGTTTTTTTTTTTTTTTTTTTGTTTTTTAAACCTTTCAGGTTTGGGTTTGTTTTTTTTTTTGTTTTGTTTTGTTTTTGTTTTTTGGATGGTGGTGGTTTGTATTTTCTCCATCTTTTTTATTTTGCTTTCATCAGGTTGTCTTAGTTTCTCCAGTGCTTCTTTATGTTGTGTTATCAATATGGAGACAGTTTTATTCTTTTTCATAGCTGTTAAAATTTCCCCAGTTTTTTGTACATTATCCTTTGGATTTGTTAACGTGATTATTCTTTCAGAAGTGACCAGCAGAGCTTTCAACACCTGTTTTCTCACACTGGGTGTCTGATTTCTGTGAAGTCGCCAGGAATAGGTGAAAGCCTTTTAAGTTTGTCTGATAGTCATATCAGTAAATATTATGTTAGTAATTCACATAATTACCAAATCCTTTAAAAATGATCTCGCCTGAAGTAATGGTGACCTGTCTAAATAACTGTACTTCTAAGAACACCTGATATGGTTAGAAAGTGACTTGCTGCAAGTTTATTTCCCTGTAACATGCTTTTTTTTACAGGGTGTTTTGAATTAAAATGTGATGCTGATAGATTATCTCTTGGCATTCTTGGAAGAGTGCTATTCTCCATAGCATAGCTTATAGTATAGCTTGTTGATTATGGAGATTCATTAAAAACAGAAGAAGCCAGTAGTGCAAGGATTGCAGACATGCCCCTGAGAATGGGTTGGTCAGCCATTCTTTTCTTGAATGTTATGCTGAGTGTTTTTTTTCCCTACCCTCATTGGTGCCAGTTACATATATTATCTACATTGTATCAATATGTATATATATGACTATAATTTATGATAATACCTAATATAGGAAGTAGTAGAATAGTGTGATTCTAACTCTACAGTGGCCCTTTAAAATTTTAATAAAGTGAATAACATTAATTTATTAAAATATAACACAATATTTTATTTTTTCCTGTGAAGTAAAGCCTTTCACAATTCACTGGTTTTAATCAAAAATCTGTTGGGCAATAATTGATAGTATCAGTTATATCAAAGTTTTGTTTTTTTAAAGGTTTTTTTTTTTATTTATTTATACAACAGCTGGGGTACAGGCCAGAGGCCGGGAGGGCAAGAGGAGTCACCAGAGACAGAGTGGGGAGCAGAACAGGCAGATGACCAGAAACACTGCTGTAGGGAGCAGCGGGCGAGGCAGGAGAGGTCTGCCGACCAGGAATTGAACCCACAGAGGCTGTGGACAGCTTCACAGCGCTGTGTTCAACCCGCTGTGCCACCGGGGAGGCCCTATAACAAAGTTTTTTTTTTAAAGTTCCAAAATAGCAAAACATACTCAGGTAATTCTTAAAATATGAAATTATGATTAATGACAAGAGAATTTGGGGGAAATACGGTTATTTCTGGATTTACAGTGATTTTTTTCATTGGATACTTGATTTTTAAAAATTTTTTCCTTAATGTACTAGTTTAGGAATTTGGGTTGAAGCTGTGTTTCTATTTATATTAACAGCTTTAAGGTTTTATTGTAGAATCTCTTATATATCATTATCAGTAGACTGTGGATTAAGAGGACTGATTAATTTGAAATAGGTAAAATTTCCAGGTACTGGGTAAACCCTGGAAATGTAAGGTAGATTACTTCCTCTCTTACTGTCCTGTAGTCAGACTAACCAGTAAAATAGGGTAGATTGTAGGAATACTGTGTGTTGTAGCTTTTGCTCGACTTTAATGAAACTTACAAAATGACAGTTTGTCATCAACTTCTAGCAACTGTTGTAACAAATGTAGGCCCTGATCTGTCTTCATGTTATCCTTGTTTTGGTGGTGATTCTTATTTACATCAAAACATTGATTTAAAAGAAAAGAACTTTTGGTCGTTTAGACTAAATATCTCTGATTAGTCATTGTGGACTCTTTTCTCAAAGGAAACATTTCAATTTAACTTCATTGTGTAGATTTGATTTCATTTCCAGCATTCTTCCCCCGAAAGATGAACACTGTTCAGCCTAACTTGAATGATTTGATCAGGTAACTGAAAATGAGTGCTGTGAGAAAAAGTTTTTACTAAATCTTGATAGTTTTATGAAATCTTCACAGTGGTTGTATTTATACTATTTAATTTCTCAGACTATAGAGATTTGGGGATACAGTTTTTAGTATTACAGAGCGACCTACGAAACAAACATTTGGTAGAGCGTGGCTTTTTTTTTTTTAGTTTTCACTCAAATTTCATTGTTTTTTTTCCCTCCCCTTCAATGTAATGTTAATAACATATTTTGCTTCTGAATTATGGTAAATTGGACACAGAAGTGTTCTAAAGTAAATTTTTTTCTTTTAATTTTAATTTTACTACAGCTTATGTGTGACCACATCTACAATATCTTATTATTTCTTGGTATTACATTTTCTTTTTATAATGATACTCTTTGTATAACTTACTTAATTGAAAGAACCAGTAACTGAATCAATTATGTTTTAACTTACCTATTTAAACATTTAACATGGTTTATAACATTTAAAGCACAGTGTAACAATTGAAAGTACTTGACTTACTAGATTAATA